TTCTATGAAAAATAACATAAGTTTGAAAATTTTACTTTTTTTTAACCAAAGTTGTAGAAAACATATGGAATGTCTCTACACTATAAATTTAACATTTCTTACTTAAGGAAAACGTCAGATTTATCCATAACGATCAGTGCTACCTATGTGACTGGGTTCAAACATAGGATAGGCCATAAACCCACAACCTCAAGACATCACCAAGACTTTTATCATATGAAAATGACTTTTGAAATTCTTGCACAATGTGCAGCATTACAGCCAAGCCTTTTAGGGGTAGAGCAGATGTTATCTCCATAAAATGATAAGGAAACAAAGATAATTCGAATTAAATTGTTTTAACAACTTTCTTGATTAGATGTTATGCAAGAACTACATAGACTTAGAATACATGAAATATGTTGAATAGTTCTATATTAATTTGATATGATAGAAATGTATGGTATGCCTGCATACTCCACTTTTTCTCCCCCCTATGTTTCAAGTTTGTCCTCAAGCCAGCAAATAAACTTAATTTTAAAACCAGTTGACTTTACATTCGTGCCCTGGTCAAAGAGTGTATTAACTTTCTCACTGTTGTAAATACTTACACCTAACATAGATATCAGAACCATATAAAAAAAGAGCATATGATACATTATCGAAAATTCTTTAACGTTGATGCAAGCACACACTGATACAAAACCAATCCCTTTAACAAAGAGTTGACATCATGAAACAATACAAAACTAAGCCCTTCAGCAATGTTAAGCATAAAAACAATAACATAACTCTACATATATTAATACAAAATACATCACCCACCCCCCTTCTCCCCAGTGGCACAGAAGTAAGCTTATAATGCTCAAAACCGAGTTTTGATAACCCATTGTGTGTCTTTGTGCTTGTCTACAAACAAACAAGATACATCAAGTATGAAATCTCTACCCTGAGATCGTGGTATACACAAATAAGCAAAAATAAAAACCATTTACTAATAACAGAAAAACCAAGATTTTTTACAAAATATATATACATATTAAAACAGATCCTTCATTAGTACATCACAGAAAGAATATAAATATAAAACAAGAATGAACCTGATGATGATATACAATTAATATATAATATCTAAATGTACGCGCATATTCACAAACAATTTCACATACAACATACAACTATGGAAGAAAATGCTTTCTAAACGTATATGACTAGAATGCACTGATTGCATTGTTAAAGTTTTTAAATATCTACTTACATACATGAAAAAACAACAACAACAAAAACAAATATGTTAAATAGAATACTTTACAAGACATTTATAAAACGTACATTAAGAAATGGTACCACAAGTTTGTGATGATAAAATTCTTGATTGGCCACTTGTCTTGACCCTTCTGATATTGGTAAAACTCAGATTAATATTTGACATCTGCTTCACCTGGTGGGTAGTGGGGAGGCTCGTCATTAGCTGATCTCCTCCTGCTAATGTTTCCAGTTAAGTTAGTGTCTCCTCATAATGGTCTCCCATTCTGTTGGTGGTCCATCATGTAACAGAGAATGCTTTGAGGAAGTATTAGGTAAGATGGAATGGAAAACCATTAGCTAGATATTAGAATGGTCCATCATATAGCAGAGAGGTTTTGAAGGAATATTAGGTAAGATGGAATGGAAAACCATTAGCTAAATATTAGAATGGTCCATCATATAGCAGAGAGGCTTTGAAGGAATATTTGGTAAGATGGAATGGAAAACCATTAGCTAGATATTAGAATGGTCCATCATATAGCAGAGAGGTTTTGAATGAATATTTGGTAAGATGGAATGGAAAACCATTAGCTAGATGGAGAATACAATAGCTAGAAGCATCAAGAATTTAACCTTATGTAGAGAAGGTCCAGATTAAGAGGGTCAAAAATTCAGTCAGATGTGTCGGTTTAAAAAAGTCATAACTGCTTAGTTACTACCATGACCTACTGTAAAATCCTTTAGAAATGGGAGTATAACAATGTATCTTGGTCAAATGACATTTTTACATGCTTCATGTGTATTCATGTCCTATATTTTTTAGAAAAATGTATTCCTAATTTCTCTGAACTTCCCGATCTCCAAGCCTTATTGGACCCTGTTTTACTAACACCTTTAGCTATGCTGCCCTCTGTCGTTCCTGCCAGACAACAGCCAACACAGCCTACCCTTCAACCAAGCCTCTTTTCTTTCTTTACCATCTGCTTGTCACAAGGATATAATTCAGTTCCAATAGGAAAAGAATAGGGATCGAGATTTCAAACCTTGTTCCTATTCACATGAGCTGACTAAGGTTAGGTGCTGTCAATCCTTATTTTTAAGCATTAAAATATATTAACATTTACATTGTCTCTCCCAAGGAATCTTCTTCTGGTTTAGTACAAGCTTTTGGTGCAACTTATAAATTGTTACCATGTGGGTGTTACATTCTAGCTTTTCTAGTACACTTGCAGCCTAAATTTCATACATCATTACCGCACCTTCTACTGAAACAATGTAAAGAAAATATTCAGTAAAACTGTGTGTGTGTTTATTAAAATGTTTCATTCTGCATGCTTGAAAATATTCCATCTCAACCAAACAAAACATTGGGCGTACCAAACTTACATTTGTTATTTACACTATTGTCTGTGACTTTAAGTTACTTCTGATAATTTCACCCAATCATAAATATTTCATCACGTTCCAACCAAAATATCTTGCACTACTATTAACAAAGAAAAACAATAACAGATTCCACAGGTATTCCCTATAAATAAAATCCTTTCACGTTTCTTATAGAATGTTTATGCCCATTCCAAAGCATAGGTTTATATTTATACAGACTCAGGGATCCCCAATAACTAGACTCATCCATGGCTTGTTTCTGACGTGATATCCCTTTATTTTCAATAACTATTTAAGAATACTGTGTTCAGAGGCTTTTATGATCCCATAACAAGTGAGTTGAACAGTAGATAATAAATATTAGCTTTCAAACAAGATAGAACTAATAGTTAAACACGATTTGCTATCTACGTCAATATGAAGAAAGTAACAAATGGTTAAGCAATATTGTACGATTTATAAGAAGTGATTCGTGACAATTCTCATAGTGGAGAACAAAAGATTCTAATGTGAAGTTTACAAAACTTGGAAACAGACTACAAATCTGGTCTTCATCTCGTTGGCTTCTGCTTCATGTGGGGTTCATCCGCTTCATCAGGAAACGTCTATCATTGGTAACAGTCACATCAGTAATAGTAACTTCATCAAGGGCTTCACCGTTTCCCTTCTCAAAACCGAGTAGAGTTTCTTCTTCGATAGTGGCTTTTTCAGGTGACACGTTCTTCAGCATCGTCATTTGTTCCATTGTTCACTTCGTCCCAACTGAAATGTCCTGGACCATGATAACGCCAAAGCCTGTTGGCATGCACCACCTTCGGCTTACCTCCCCGACCACATTTTATCCGGAAAGTCACGTCTGAGAGACGATCCACTATTTCATATGGGCCTTCCCATGGAGAAGACAAGTTAAGAGACTTCCC